CTCTTTAGGTCTTGTGTTTGGTCTTCCATATTTAGAAATGGAAGAAAAGCATTAAGGCCAGTAGGTAGAAGGATAAAGGGTTAGGAAGGATAGTTCATAGAGTGGTTGAGATGGTGGAGAGGTAGGGTTGGAGTATGAATGTTTGGATTGGAAAAAGAGCTCATGGTATACTGAGGAGGTTGGTTAATATGAAGGTTTAGGTATTGGATCATGGAGTAAGTATGGGCATTATATATGGGGAAGAGAAATATGATAAGGTTGACATGAAAGGTTAGGAGATGGTTAGTATGAATGGCAATCAATCCAATATGTGCTCTGAATGTTAAGGCAACTTGATTCTTGGGAGTTTAGAATCGTTAGAGTTCCTTCCATTTGAGCCAAGATCATGTCTAATTTGGAACAAGAAGATGCCTCACCTATCCATGAAGAATCACCTGAAAAAGAGTGAGAAACTAGAGGAGGATTAAGTTGATATTTACAATTATCTTTAAACTAAGCCATAAGATTAAAAGCCAAGTGATTCCAAATGAATTACAAGGAATTAAGAAGCTTAAGATACATAAGTGGTAAAAAAAAAAAACAAAGTGATTAAGTAAAAAAGAGAAGGCATAGAAAAATTTTCTCATTTTGACTACTTTGCTGCAACGCAAAATAATTGAGCAAATCTTCAAAACACCAAAGAAGTTCATCGCGACCAAGAAAATCTATACTATAGTGCAAAATCTAGAAACACGAAAGACAAAAGTAGAATAGTAGAATTTGATAGCAAATACTTTACTCAAGCACTAGACACTCATGTAACTCATCAAAACTTTTCCAAATAAGTTTGAAAACCTCTTCACACTCAAGATATGCACAATTAAAGAGAGATTAGTCAAAATTGACTTGGAGATATGGTTGAGTTACTCAAAGAGCAACAAGAGTAATTGAATGATAGAAACCATATTCAATCTCAGCACCAAGTCAATGAGAAGCATAAATGTAATGGAAGTATGTATTCTGTGTATCTATATGCTTTCTTTTTAAGTTTTCAAAGCTTGTAAGTATGTATATGACTACTATGCACAACCTAAAAATGGAAATCCTATAATAAACACAATGCAAAAACTCAAAAATAAACCTATAGTCTCAAACACCTCAGTCAAAGCTTAATTGACACTTAGTTAGCCTAGGGAGTAAAAAATAACTCCCAATAATGGTGCCATCGATTAAACCCTATCCTAACAAGCCTTGGGGGTTAAGATCACAAATTTACCAAGAATTGACATAACCTTTGTCACACCTCCTTTATTATCATATTGTACATTAATTGGAACCATTAGAAACCATTATTCAAGTCTTAAGTATGGGAAAATTTCAATTTCACAATTCCCATTTTCAGATTTTTGTACACTATTCACAGCAATTTAGGCCAATTTTGAAAATTCATAACTAATTTTAGAAAACTCAAAATGGGATGGTTCCAAGTTCTATAGAAAGCTCTTGACATGCTCTTTAGAGGAAAAATACTCATTAGTATCCAGATTTCATACATCATTCCCAAATTTCATTCAAAGTGGTACTGTTTATTTGTTTATTTTTCAGTTTTTTAGGATTTATGCCCAGCTTTGGAAGGGCATAACTTTCTGTACAAAACTCCAAATTTAATGAATTACTACTTTTTTTAAAGATAAAAATGAGATCTATAAGTATGTCAAATTTCAGATTTAGATTCATCCAATTGCTCAAAATCACGTTAGTCAAACTTTGCTCTGAAAAAGTCAACTTTTATCTCTTTTTCATACCATTCTTGCCTTTTCTTTTTCTTTTCCTTTCATCTAGCTTTTTCCAATCATGCAACACATGCATAGACATAATTCTTTAGTCAATTATTTATGAATAGAGTATCCTTAATCGTCAGTATAATGTTTTAACATTGTTTACACTGATACATTACAACTCATAATAATTTACAACTCATAACTTCAATGACATTTGGCTTAAACTTCTTCCAATATGACTTCCAATCCTTTTCTCCTTGCTCTTGGCAAAACCACTTGAGGTTCCTATTATTGTTTATACATTGAGGGGGGTGAGATTTCAAAGAAATCTCAGTAGCAATGAATCATAATTATGATGTCAATCAAGCTCTACAAAATGTGACATGTTACAATGCATAAAAATTAATTTCAAGACCATGAATAGCACATTATTCCATTAAGGAAATTAGTACATATTCACAGTTCATATTAATTTGCATTTGGCCAAAGCATATCAAATATCCAAAAGCATTCCATATCATAGTATAAATCAATCAATTCATAGTAACATAAAGCATGCAACATGTGCACATTAAGTAAGCAAGAAAAACAATCAAATTAGATTCAAAGCTACCTCTTTTATACTTGAAACAATTCAGCCTCTTCAATTCCTTTGGGTTCCTTCTTGTTCTCTTGCACAATGCCTATCAATTCATACATAAACACATTCCAATTTATCAATGATTCAAGCATAAACACTAATGCTTGATATTAAACTCAATTAAACCCCCCCCTTTTCCTTGATTTTTAACATAATTATTCCCTCTTTGTTTCCATTCATTTCTTGGTCCATTCCTACACAATTTTTCATATAGAATCCAAATATCAAATCAGATTTATAGAAATCAAACTCCTTCCCCTTCAAGTTGAGTTGGCCGAATAGGGGGTACATACTTCCAAAAATTCTATTTTTGATTCCAATAATTTTAAACACTTCTCAATAGTATGTCCCCACACAAAAATATATTTTTAAACCCATTGGAATCATCAAATTAAGCCAAACAATTTGTTTCTGCATGAATAGTGCTAGGCCGAAATGCACATATAACCCTAAGTGGATTTTCTTCCAAAAACCAATCCATACACCACTTAATCTTGCTTATTCCACTTGGTATTTAAGGTTTCTATTCTTTCCTAAACCTTCCATGAATAGATTGAAATTTGGCAGCATCACACTGGAATTTTTCAACTCAAAAACTCAACCAAAACTACCTTAAAGCTTAGGGATAAGAAGGTTTAAGCATACCTTGATGTTTTCTTAGTGTAAGTTGGATGATTCCTTGCCTAAAACACTCAAGAATTTCAGCCAAATGGAGTTGGAGTTACAATGCAGAGTCTCCCCTTATTTTTCCGATTTTCCAACATTTATTTGTATTTTCTAAAGGGATATATAGAAAAATCTGATCTGCCTTCCCTCTCTCTATTTGGACAAAATTTACCACCTCATGGGGGTTATGTGACAGTCATCAAATGCTAGAAGAAGTCATATTTGAACAAGTGGCCAATTTCCAGATTTTTCCAAGCATTTATCCATGAATTTCACATTTTATTTAATAAAAATAGAGGGACCTGGAAGCTGCACCAAATTGGGCCCTTATTGGGTCAATGTGGGCCCCAAAAATGGTTTGGACTGGTCCAAAAAATTGGCCCACAAACCAAATCACTATTTTAAACCAATTTGAAACTTTATCGGTTACTATTCACTAGTAACATTCTATAATTTTTTCAGACCTCCAAGAATTCATTTCTCTCCATGATAATTCACCTTTTAATATGAGAACATGATCTGAAAATTTTTAGAATTTTTTGCCACCTCTAGGTATTTATTTTGAATTTTCTCTAATTAGGCCTTTATTGGTGTCACTACGGGAAAAATAAATTCTTTGAAATTAATTCCTGAGCTTCCAAGGCCCAAAAATAATTTTATAAATTCAAAAAAGTATTTCCATGGCTTTTTCATATTTTTCTCAGATTTGTCAAGGCCTCTAGCTATTTAAAGTAATTATTTTTTCTCAATTTTCTGTTGTTTTCCCGAAAAACCTTCGTATTCGGGAAATTCTATAAAAATTCCTTTTTCCATAGTTTTCGCCTTTAGGACCTCCATTGATGTCCCAAAACCTCTAGTTCACCAATTTTCCACTTTTAATAAATTTTCTAGAATTTTTCTCAAAATTTTCCATTTTGCCCTTCCTAGACCGATAAAGTTGAAAATGCCAGTCCAGACCCTTTTTGGATTTCACACCACACTTAGTTTTCTTAGCCAATCTTTTTTCCTTACTGGCCCTCAACCAAATTTTTTATCTCTTCTATCAATACTAAATTTGGTGAGATGTGACACCTTAGGTCATTTCACTCAAGGAGTTTTTCATTGAATCCTAAGTTAACTTAAGCGATAAAAATGCAAGATTCACAAACGGTAAAATAAGCATGTATGCATGAAGTGAATAAAATATTTTAGGTCATTTTGATAAAAACGAAATGGATGAATAGAATAAATAAAATGCTATGGAATGGATCTTTTAAGGTTTGGTTAGGTGGCAAGCTTTGGTTCTCTTCATTAGGGGTTAATGCAATTATATTTGGATTATCATAGTTAAGTACTTTGTTATATTAATACATATTTCAGTTTAGCTAATTTGTATTGAGTCTCTTAGCATACATCGATAACAGAGAAATTTGAAAATGTATTAGACAACAAAACATAAATACTACTAGAAAACTCTTTTAATGGAAGACCCAAAGCTCTAACCACCATCTATCTTCAAGAGATGATGAACTTAGCCACTCATAGCCATAGAAGAAGCTCCAGACAACAGCCCACGTGCATAACCATGATGAATGATGTGGAAGAAAATGGAAGAGTGAAAGAAAAGGTAAGAGACAAAGGAAAGAAAGGGAAATCAAATGGGGGAGAAAAGATGAAGATAGAGTAAAGGAATTAGGTCAAAATGGGTGAAAGGAATTGAATAAATGAAGATAAGAGTCAGATCATGAAGTGTTTGGATTGGGTTATTGAGTGAGTAACCCAATTTAAACTGAAAAATCTAAAACTTCGCATACCAAAAAACACTCGTTCGTCATGGTGAACCCATATTGAAAATTCCAGAGAGTCTTCAGTTAAGATGGTTTGGCGAACCCACAATGAAGTCACAACAAAAATTCCAGAAAGGTTATATTGAATCTTTAAGCTGAGTCCTTACACTTCCTTTTTTATCTTCCAAGGTACCTATAAGTTAGAAACAACATTGTGCAGCATCAAAAGGTTTAAGAAAATAAGTTTAACTAAGCGCAATGACAAAGACATGCAAAACATGCGAAATTAACTCTAAGACCATGCAATCACTCTAAGTTAACCAAAAGTTGTAAGATATGCATTTATGCACAAATACTAGCCAAAATAATGAAAATACTATACAAATTTGGCCCAGTCAGTCTCTCTTCCTTCTCTGAACCAGTCGATGTCTTCCCCTTCTTTCCTCACTGTCATGCTTTGTTTAGAGAAGAGATCTGATTCATCTCTCTTGCTTTACTGAACCAGTCGACTAGAGGTAAAGAAGAAGATGGTAATGAATAGTGAATTTCTCCTTTCCATTGCACTCGTCTTCCCTCCTCCGTTCATGCTTGCTAATGGCAACCAAGGTGAAGAACCCTGCAATCTCGGCGTCTTTGGTTCCCAGAAGAAGATGAATAGTAAACTCAATTCAAAACCCTTCGTCATTATCCTCCAAAATGCTGTCATCCCTAGCTGTGAAATTGCAAAAATTCCATTACCCAAATGATACGTCTTATCTCTTGCTCCAAATTCTCCTTTCGTGCAGCACATATTCATGGCTGGAGGTTCATAATTCCATCCTCAAGCATTGTCTTTTTGGTACCTACAAGAGAGAAGGATAAAAGGAAATAAATAAAAATGAAAGAAAGGAAAATAAATAAAAAAAGGAAATGAAATAAATGACATTAACATAAAATAAAATAACATTCTTTTAATACTTCAAATTATTTTCAACTACTCTAATTTTATTTTGAAAGGTATGATATTCAAAATGAAATCCCCCAAATAATGCTCTAAATTAATTTCTCAAATTAGCTCATAAAAAGCATTCAAAATATCATTAATAACTCACTAAACACACCCAAAAAAAAACCTTTTAAATATATTAAAATGGAGAGTTATCACATGCTATCTTTAATCCTTTTATTGCCATGTTACCTTAAATTTCTTGCACATTTTGCATCGTTATATAAGCGTCTAAATGTAGGTACAATGGAAAACCATCATAACACTTTCTTTGGACTCTTCCTATTGGCTTCTTATAGTGAGGTCTTATACTTGGCACAATGAGTTAACAATTTGTGTTTTTTCCCAAATAAAACATAATCATTAGGGCAAGGGTGAATCTTTTTGTAATTTAAGGTGGCAGTACGCAACATTTATTTGGCATCATAAGTCTAGGTTGGGAGTTTATTTTACTTTGATAGCATTACTTTCAAAAGCGGGGGCAATTCAATAAAGCTTGAATCACTCCACTCATTTCTTACTTTCAACTTATACAATTTCAAGACTGCAGGAAGTAATATGAAGTTAGTACAACCTTCATACAAAAGCTTCTCCATATCTTTCTTCAAACTTTCGAGCATTTGTAAACAACCCTTCAATTCTTTTTAATCGTATTGGCCATGTCTTCAAGACGGTTGACCTCATATGTACTTGTGTCGAAATCAGGTGTTGTTTGCCTTTTACTTTACCCCCAGCCACTCTTGCTCACATTCCTTACCTCTCCATACTTTGTCCCGTACTTATAACTTTGGTTGATTTCATGAATCACTTAGTGCCACTCATAAACATCTAGATTAAGCCGCTTCAAATTGCCATATTATACAAAAGGGCAAAGAATCCTAGTAGGGTTATTAGCATGGTTAGCCATAAAATGAATGAAATCAACTAACCCATCCTAATATTGCTTGCCTAGATGACTGATAGATATCCATTCATTATCCATACTCTATCTAGCATAAATCATTTAAAGAAAAATGTCAAAATCAGAACACAAAAAATTCCATATATACAGCAAAAACCATCTAGATAGCTCAGAATATTTAAAAGAATGAAAGGCCTCTAACCTTAACAGGAACCTCAAAATGAATTACAAATCCCTACTAATATAAGAGCTCTCATAAATGTTAGATGCACAAATCAAATTGACTAGAAAAAATATAAGACAAAAACTAACCCCATTTCAATACAAGGTAAAGGGAAAAAAGGGCAAATGAGAATGGAGCAAGAAGATGATCAAAGACATGAGTGAAAGAGAATAGAGAAGTAAAGCATAAAATTTTTCCATTAAAAAAAAGACATAAAACTATGTTATTGAAACTACTTCATAGATGGCATAGGTACCTTAACCAGCAAAGAACATATATAGGTTTGACAAGAATGATAGTTGGATGAGAGTGAGGGCTGTGGGGTAGCTACGGGTTCATCAAGGCATATGCACAAGAGAGATTTTTTGAGTACAATAATTAATACTACGTTTGAAAATATAGTGGTTAGAGAAGGCAGAAAACATTTTGAAAACACAAGAATGATAGATGACTGATAGATATCCATTCATTATCCATACTCTATCTAGCATAAATCATTTAAAGAAAAATGTCAAAATCAGAACACAAAAAATTCCATATATACAGCAAAAACCATCTAGATAGCTCAGAATATTTAAAAGAATGAAAGGCCTCTAACCTTAACAGGAACCTCAAAATGAATTACAAATCCCTACTAATATAAGAGCTCTCATAAATGTTAGATGCACAAATCAAATTGACTAGAAAAAATATAAGACAAAAACTAACCCCATTTCAATACAAGGTAAAGGGAAAAAAGGGCAAATGAGAATGGAGCAAGAAGATGATCAAAGACATGAGTGAAAGAGAATAGAGAAGTAAAGCATAAAATTTTTCCATTAAAAAAAAGACATAAAACTATGTTATTGAAACTACTTCATAGATGGCATAGGTACCTTAACCAGCAAAGAACATATATAGGTTTGACAAGAATGATAGTTGGATGAGAGTGAGGGCTGTGGGGTAGCTACGGGTTCATCAAGGCATATGCACAAGAGAGATTTTTTGAGTACAATAATTAATACTACGTTTGAAAATATAGTGGTTAGAGAAGGCAGAAAACATTTTGAAAACACAATACTCAATGGTCTTTCTCATAAATTATGATTAAGTTAAGTGATAGTTTTTCTTTAAAACCATCATATAATGTTTATTTTTTATTAGGGGCTAATGCCCCCTTACATTATATATATCTAAAAAAAATAAAAAAGAAAGACCAAAGAAAAATAAAAACATAAAATATATTAACTAAAAACAAAAACACATAAAATAAAAGTTAAGTAGGAAAGAAAACTATTAATCTTCTCCACCCTCCTTCTTGTTGTCAAAAGCACGAGAGGAAGCATCATGATCCATGTTGTAGTCAATATCATTCTAGTGCAAAACGAGGTTGAACTTTTGATTGAGGTCATACCAATATAAGATGAGCCTACGAATAGCACAATCCATGCATGAGAGTCACCTAAGAATGTCATCTAGTTGGGGTTGGGGAAGGATGTCCTATGGTAGAGAATGCGAGGAAAAGGGTAGAGGAGGGGCAAGAGAAGCTGAATGAGGTAGGGGAGGCTGTATGAAATAAAGACAAACGGCGAGAGGTCCTTAACATTAAACTATTTAAGGAGGAAAGTGACTTTAGTGTTCATTGAACACCTTGATTTGTTACCCAAATTTATAACAGGTAGAATCAATTGGAACTATTTAATAAGCCTTTAAGTTGAAAATTTTTGAATTTTTAAATTTATTTTCTCAGGTTACTATTCATTGTAACCCTAATTTTAACCCAACTTTGAAAAATCATAACTAATTTTAGAAAAATAAAAATGACATGGTTCCAAGTTCTATTTGAAGCTCTCAATGAGATCTTTAGGAAAAAATAATTCCAAATTGCAAGCTCAGCTCGTGTATGATCAATTCCCACATCAACATGCACTATTTATTTGGTCAATTTTCAATTTTCTAGAATTTACACCTAATTTTGAAAAGTCATAACCTTTGGTACAAAACTCAAATTTTTATGAATTACCACTATTTAAAGCTAAAAATGAGATCTATTGATCTGCTGAATTTCATAACCAAATTCTTTCATTTGCTTAAAAACATTTGTAGTCAAATTTTGGCTCATTTTAGATCAACTTTTATCCTTTAGATGATCAATTTTCCATAACTCAACCTTAGTAACTCAAGTGTGCTTATACCATATTTCCTAGCATATATCAAGCATATTCACATAGGTTACAAGCCCAAATAGTCAACAATCAATAATCTCATAATTATTACAACATTGTAACATAAAGTCCATAAGATGTCATCAAATCATTCCTTAAGATATGATCATCTCCTTACCTTTCGAACATGGAGAAGAGTGAGATTTCAAAGAAATCTTAGTAGTAAAGAACTACAGTTATAATGTCAATCAAGCAAGGAATGTTACATGTAATTTCACAAGTCATCGATCAATTTTTTTCATGCCATGAAAGAAAGCATTAAACTATTCTAAAAGTCAATTCAATAATGCATTTAGCCAAGGCATATAATGCATCAATTCAAACAACATTATCATCTATCAAACTCATCCAAAACATGGCATATAATTAGCAAATTACACACAGTAACAACCAACCAACATAACATGAAATTGAAAGTTCTAACCTACGTCTCCTTGAATGACATGACCCCTTGTCCTTGCTTTTGAGCTCCCACTTGCTTAACAATAATGCCTATCAAACAACAAGAATAAAGTATTCCAAATCAATAACACCATTCTATTACATAATCCTTTCTAAAACTGTAACCCTTTGACCTTTAGCTTAGGGTTTTAGTACCATCCTTCCATAGATTTTTCCTACACATTTTTTCATGTAGAATCTATATTTAAACTTAGATTTATCAAAATCCAACTCCTTCCCTTCTTATTCAATTTTAATGCTTCCAAAAGCATGTTCTTCACATATCCCTACACAAATTTTCCTTTTAAATCCATTGAAAGCATCAAAACAACAAAACTTAAGCCCTAGGATAGCATAGTAGCCTTGTTTGAACAGTAACCCAAGAGTGCACAAATTGATATCTTTCAAACAACAAGGTTTGTTCATCATCAAACAACCATTTCATATCCTTTAATCCATGTGTCAACTTAATATCAATCATAAACCATCAAGAAGCATTTTGTGCAGTACCAAAACTTAGGCTTTTCAACCATCAAACTCTACCAAAACCAAGTTTAAAACCATCAATCCATAGAAAATCAAGCTCTAGATAGGATAGTCATGCTATTATCTTGATTAAAGGGTTCAAATCACTTGGATTCACTTTGTTCTTTGTCTCCTCCTTCTCTTCCCTCTTGGCCAAAAATGTTCTGCCTCCAAGCTCTCCAAAATGACTGAAAGACTAGCTTAAGAGGAGAGGAGATGATATTTATAAAATTACCTTAGTCTTAGGTTATGTGGTAACTTGCTTAATCCTTAATGTTTACCATAGGACACTTAGCTCTATCTCTTCTTTTCTTCCTCTTCAAGCATGTCACGTGGCCTCTTATGTGTCCTCCAAATTGAACGAAGGTGCCACCTCATGGGAAACCTAAGCTCCTATATGTAAAAATCCACATATTTTATCCATAATTCCAATCTTCCAATTCTATCCTTCAATAAATTGTGTTATTCCATCTAGGTCCTCACCCTCCTCAAATGGTGCCATTTAGACAAGAAAAATGGGGGGAAATTTGCTCACACCAAGCTTATGGTTATTACACAGTATAATTTCACAATATCGGTTAAAATTTTCTTGGATCTTATTAAATTTATTATCTCCAAAAATTTATTTTCTTGTGCCACTAGTTTCCTTTTAATGAACTAAGGTTTCTCTAATTTTCTTAGATTTTATTTTTCCCTACAACTGCTTCAATCAAATTTTTCCCAAAATCGGCCCTTCACCAATACAATTCTAGCTTTAAATAATTCAAAGCTATCCTATGCACTTTTAGAGGTTAGAAACAATTTTAAAATTCATAATAACCTTTAAAATAATTTTTCTAATTTTTTTTATGAATTATTGAGGCCCCTATATATTTTAAATAATTCAATTTGCCTAATTTTTTTCTTAATTAGCCAAAATTCTAAGAAAATACAAAAATTTCCAAAATAAATCATTTTCACACTATTTTTATTTTTCAAGCCTCAACTATTGTTCTGTACCCTTTATTTTATTTTTCATAATTTTTTGGAAATTTGCTAGAATTTTGGGTATACTTTCCCACTCTATTCAATATTGACTAAATATTTTGAAAATGACAGTCTAATCCCTAGTCTGGTTTTAGTTCAAAAGTTGTCATGTCTAACCATTGGCTACCTACATACCCTATGGTCTATTTTATATTCTTCATTTTTAGGGTTAAAATTAACAGAATATAACATTCGTGGTATGAAAGGAAGGGTAAGGTAAGGGTTTAAATAGAGTGGAAAAGACTCAACATAAAATAAAACCAAATTTTATACTCGAATATTTAGTTTTATAACCTTTTACTAATTCTTCTTCTACTTCTAGTAAATCAGAAGATAATCTTTCAGATTCTGCTAGCAGAGAAATTAGAAAAATGATAAAACCTATGGGTTGATGCCATAAATTCTATTTAAAAAAAAAACCATATTTTGATTGCGTGTCAACTATATCTACTGCACTTAAGCACTTTAGGTTAAAGAAAGATAATTACTCCTGCTCTTTTATATTAATCATTTACACCACTTCAATGGTCTGAGAGGGAGGCAAAAGGGTCAAAAACAATAGGTGATGATTGTACTTTAAAACTGTCACATTTTCTTTTGCAAGAAATTAAATTTATTTATTGACAACAAAAGGTGATAATTGTGGATTTAGATTTAACCGTCACGTGAAAAAGCAATATATATTTGAAAACCTGTAGTGGTGATTCAGCTTTTTAAATTCATATGTGATATAAATATAGAAGAAATTTTTGGTTTGGCATTTTCACTTTATTATTTTAAATTTATTATCTATATATTTAACTGAAAAAAGAAAAGAATATATAAGCAAAAATTCAAAATTATTTTGGATGACATAATCTTGCTTGTATTTGCTAGTTTCAACCCAATATATATATTTACCTCAACTCAATCCATATATATTTCTTGTTTATCATATGTGAACCACTAAAAGCCAGACCAAAAAAATTCTAGAAATTTCTTTAACATACACTTTTAAAATCAAATTCCAATGCAGGATTCAAACCTGTGAAAAAATATTGGAATTCGCTAGTAAAATTCATAACTTTAAGCAAACCTTGACTAGTAATTCACCTAGTTAACCCTATCTATCACTTAATAATATTATGTGTTCCAGGGTCAATTTACCTTAAACTGAACCCTAAGTCTCTTTAATATAAATCCATCTAATATAAGTACGATAATATATGTAAGCATAGTTGTCATCTCAGTCGATAGCACTTATATGCTCCCTCCGTATTGAGGATACAAAAGAGTATCTTTATATAACAAGTAATAGTTACTCACCAAAATAACTAATATATAAATATAGATAAATAAGTTGCCTAAAGAAACTACTACTACATATAAACCAAAAGCAGCAAGCGTTCCTACTCTTCTTATCACCTATCTTCTTTCTACACAACCTCTTGGAACTACTTGCTCTTGCTATACAACATGGAAGGAAGAGTGAGATTCCGAAGAATCCCTATAGTAGTAATTTCCATTAAACAATTATGCAGATCACATAATACATGTAATACAAGCCAAAGTGGAACACAACCTTGGAAGTTATGCAGTTAAGCATTTATGCACAATTGATAGATAAATAAGCTGAGATATTTTATTGTGCAGATAATTTGGCAGAGGCTGCCCCATGTCTATCAGCTATACTCATAGGCCTGGCTAAAATAATCTATGCAAGGAAATAAGAATTACATGTTTTCATGCTTTAAAATAGCAATACGGCATAAACAGACATGGAACAATTATAACACAATTATAAGGTAGGAAAGAACAACTACTTCATTCGCTTCCTTCCAACTCAAACCTTACAAATTCCTTTTTAGTTCTCTCAGTGGGCTTGAGCAAAAATCAAAACCTATCATATTCATAAGGGTAGATTAATGCTTGGTCCAAATATAATTTATAAGTTAAATAACTTCCTTTAAATTCTAAATATCTTTAAATTCTACCCTTACTTAGTAGTTACTCATCTTGGAGAACTTTTTAGAGTCATAATTTGCCTTTTGAAATGTTTTTCCTTTTTTCCATAATCCTAATCACTTGTCCTTCTTAGTGACTAGTCATGTTAGTGAAAAACATTATATTTATCCATTATATTTGAGGACAAATAATGAACCCCCCCCCCCCAAACCTACACATTTAGTCTTATTGAAATCAAATAAAATAAAATTCGAACCTACTTCTTTCACCACCTTGGCCAAGACACTCACATCTACATAGTTAAATAATCTTAAACATTTATAATAACTTATATAATCTAGTACTGTGAGAATTCAAATACTTAACGTATTATTCTATTTCATACATTACCTCATAACTTATTTTCCATAGCTAACTAAACATCATTCTTAATCTCTTTAACCCTGCACAACCTTTCAATTAAATTCTAAAACTCCTATGAGTTTCTTTATTCAATTACAACACTTAACTTGATCTGCTTTCAAATCAATTCAACTATTTTCTATCAATGGCAATACTCAATATTTCACACTCATTAATTCATCTAACCATATATCAACTATATGACTTCTTTGCTAACTCATTTAAGAACTTGACATCTTCCCCCCAATGAGCAACCATTTAATGATTAAATCTGGAAATTTTCTCTAGATTTAAATTAATCCCCCTTTAACATTATAACTATTAATCTATCCACTTTCTTTGAATCCTTAAACACATCTTTAACCATCCACATTAAATCAAACTATCTTTCTTGTAAGTTCTAAAACAACGTAAGGCATTTAATATGAAATTTTCCAAATTTAATTACCTTTTTTATTCTCAATGCAAATTCATTCTTAATCTGCTCTTAAATCCTCCAACAATAATTTCAATCCCATTTGCAATATCTTTTCTAGTACTTAGTATCCAAATAGATGCTTAAATCATCTATGCTTTTCCAATCCTATCTTCCTCAAATTCCAACAATTATTTTCCTTCTTAAAATAAAATTTCAGATTCAACTCTCATTATCCTATATTCAATTTTATTTCTCCAACTCACCCTAAGGCACCTTTAATCATTTCCCATCAAACTTTATTTTAATTTATCAAGTTCCTATTACGCAAGCTCTCACTACTACAAATGAGGTCATTTTCATCTCTCATTTTTGTCTGTTTTTCAAAACAGAGGAAAAAAGGTCACTATACTCGTCTGTTATGGTAGAACAAACAAATGTGTACACACATACTCGTTTGTTAGAGCGTGACAAACAAGTTTGTGTGTACATATTTGTCTGTTCTACATACTCGTCTGTTATGCTCTAACACATGAGTATGTTTGTACACACATACTCGTTTGTTTTGTTATGCTGTAATAGACGAGTGTGTAGATATATACTTGTCTGTTAAGTAACATACAAAAACTTCTTTTCTTTAAATTTTGAATTTTTAGAATGCAACGCCATTTTTTTATCAGATCAAAGTGAACCGTAGTAGCAATTTCTCTTTTTCTCCTCTTTTCCTTTACTGCAAACTTCCTCTTCTCCCTCTTCCTCTCTTCTCATGTGACAACCAGTATTCTTCTATCTTCTCCTTCTTAACTGAAGATAGCTCATCCTCTCTTCTCTTTCTTAGTGATGCAACAACTCGATGACACAGTAAACTTCATGGCCAACCTCTCTTCTCAATGGTGGATAGCTTCTCCTCTTTTCTCTTGTATGCTTGACAATACTCTTTCCTTCTTTTCTATGGCTTTAGCTTTGCAAGAAGCAAGGTAAGCTATGTGGTTTGGTGTTAAATGTTTTGTTTATGTGGGACTATTATATGGGTGTTGAAAGTGATTGTTTAGGTATTTTGGTGCTGACAATTTTCTATTTAAATTAATTGTTGGTGAATAATAGCTTTTGGAAAGCAATGATAGTAATTGGGAAAGTATATTAAGATTAAAAGCATATTAAACTTGCTTAAATATTAACGCATATAAGGTGTTTGTGAAAATGTCCAGTAGAGAAAATTTGTTGGAATATGATAATTAATTAGGTTTCCCTAATGTTTAATCTCCATGTTAAATTTTAGAAAGGTATAGGATTCTAAAAGTTAAAATATCTATTTAAACAAGTTACGATGTCATTAGATTTTCTAATTTTAAACTTTCTTGTGTTATATAATTGAGTTAAGGTGTTTAATTTTTTTTCCTTAACTAAGTTAATTTAGATGTTATTGTTGTCATTTGCTTTGACCCTTAAAATTGAGATTTGTATGGAAAGTGTAACATGAATTGGTTCTGCTGAATTGCTGTCATTGTTACTCTATTTTGGTTTTGCTTCATACACTTTATAATTGCAGGTCATAGTAAAAACTGACAATGCAAATAATTTCACTTTTTTTTTAAAAAAAAAGTCACTATATTCGTCTGTTTGAGCAAAACAGAGGAATATGTAAAACACATATTCGTCTGTTTTCCTCAACAGACGAATGTTTAACTTCTATCTACGTCTCCTTTATCCATGTTCCCCTTTAAACAAACGAAAAAAGTCCTCTAAAATAGATGAAAATGGGCTTTTTTGTAGTAGTGTATTTAGGTTAAATATCCGTTAATCTTGCTAGTATTACTATCCTCTAGGTTGATTAGTGCCGTGTATATTTTCTTAAAAAAATCAGCTTTCAATTTGCCTTTAGATCTCAAATATGATTTAGGCACTTAGGACTATTGTCTAGCTTGGAAGGGTATTAAAACACCTTCACAATCATTTCCCTTTCATCCATAAACTTCTCACGGTCCTTGAAATTCTTGAAAATTTTCCAGCTTCCAACTTAAATTTCAACACGCCAAGCCCCGACACACACATAAAAGAAAGGAAAAACAAAACAGGGCAGCGACACACACATTTTAAACCAAACAAACCCCCTATTTAATGATGGAAAAACCAGAATAATTCCAAAAGCACTCAACTTTCCTTAGTAGCAGAAATTTCCAGATTCAAATCCTCTTCATCTCAAATAAAACTCAACATGCAATCTAATAAACATAAGTATACACATGCTCTCCTTCAAACACCCACAACCCAACAACTTAGAGAAACAGGGACATTGGATTAAAAAAGACGTAACAGAAACAAACCAACACACATGCAACACTGAAATTCAATTATTTGATCAAGATTCAAACTACAACTTCCAACCATTGTCCTTCGGTTCACGGCTGTCTTTTACAACTCAGATTTTTAATCTACTATCCACTCTCCAACAACGCATAAAATGGAATAAAGAAGGGTAGGAAGATTTTAAAGAGCCTTACCTTACACATTGTCACCGCATGCATGTGAGTTCTAAGGTCCCTTCTACTTCTCCGATCAACCTCCTCCTCTTCGACCACGCTTTTTCTCTCAACTCTCTCTGGTTCAGTGTGTCAAAATGGGGACGGAGATGCCTCCTGATGGTTAATAAGAGTGGAGCAGCACGTGAGAGTAGTGTGAGGCAAAATTTGGACATTTTACCCCGCTGTCCTTACTTTCAATTTCATCCCTTTCTCTATTTTTCTTAAATAACCAAATACTTTCAGAAATTATTCTTTAGTATTTTTGATAAATTTTCTTCCTCCATTAACTTCTTTGACCGATTAAATAATTTCTCTAAAAATTTTGGATCGAAAATTAACTCCTAACTATTTTTCTTGAATTTTTTTTAAAAAAATAGTCCTTAATTCCATAAATTAATTCTTAATTCATTTCAAGGATTTTATACCTCCATTGGCTTCTTCATCTCATAAAATAATTATCCTAAAAATCCCAACTAAAAAAAAATCCTCTTGCTTTTTTTTCCTTGAATTTTCAAGAGAATAGGCATTTTTAATTCCCCAAAATTAACTTTAAAATTATTTAAGCCACTTTTAGGGGATAAATTTTTTTCTAAAATTCTTAGTCTCCAAAATTATTACTTCATGATTTTTTCCAATTTTCATAGGCATTTAATAATTTTGATAATTTTTTTTCCTGATTGTCTTGAAGTCTGAAAATTCAAGATGCTACAATATCTCTTTTAAATGTCTTATCAACATTTTCATTAGGGAACACTACCAGATGGGAAGGGAATTGCTATGAAAAGGCTGTCTCAAACTTCAGGTCAAGGTTCTCAGGAGTTCATGAATGAAGTGATATTCATAGCAAAATTGCAGCATAGAAATCTTGTTAGTCTCTTGGGTTGTTGCATGGAGGAAAATGAAAAACTACTTGTATATGAGTATATGCCAAATTCTAGCCTTGGCTCACACCTTTTCAGTATGATTTCTAAACTCTCTATCTCTTCCATGTTTAATTTTATATGGCAACAACCATTAATGTATATGACATATTTGTGAGAGCATGAGTTCCCTATCTAAATCAGAGTACTAGTTATAAAATTTGTAGAGTACTAGTACTTCTTTTACATAAAAATTAATTAGATCTTTCTCACTAATAGAAGTTTCAAATAGGACTTTTTACGAATTTTTCTCATATTATATGGGTCGATTAGAAGACTAAGGGGAAAAATAATCATAATATCATTTTAATCTCAATGTAAGATTATGTAAGAAAGTAATGTCACTAACTTGAACATTCTTCTCTAAGTTATAGATTGTTGTACGTGTCATTCAAGCCACACCTTACATCTAGGTTAATGAATGGTCAGAATGTTGTTGCATATCTTAGATGTAAGATGATAGTCAAAGAATTCAACCTTTGCATGGTAATAAATAACACACCTTTACATATAATGATTTAATTATTATCTAAATCAACGTAGAATTTCAAATAATCTAATATTTTTCAAAGAAAATCATGCAAAGATACAAGAAGTGAATCTTGATTAGGTCAATGAATGGTCAGAACATCATTGCATATCTTAGATATAAGATGATAGTTAAAGAATTCAGCCTTTGCATGGTAATAAAATAACACACCTTTAAATATAATGATTTAGTTATTATCTAAATCAATGTAGAATTTCAAATAATCTAATAGTTTTTAAAGCAAATCATGCAGAGACACAAGAAGTGAATCTTAATTATCTCAACCACATCATGCGAAGATTTATTGATTAGTGATAGTATTCTATCGTTAAATTGATTAGTGATGAATGTCACTAATTTATTATTTTTTATAATGCATTTAAATCATGAAATGAGTGAGCAAGCCTTTCAACTAGAGCTAACATCCTAAAATGATAAACTTATGTGCTTGCAAAGTGAAAAGAAGCCAAATAACCTTTACTAATACCCTACAACAGTAAATCTTAATTGCAAGTCACAAGAAGAGCATAAGCAATTATAGCAGACTTGAAGCCCAACACTACTTGCATTAGAGTTCAAAATAACCCTTCTATGATGTCTCAATTGTCACCAAATGGTAGAACAAAGGTTTCTAAAATTATGAGCTCACATCAAAGAATTATAATATACCACATAAATTCAACTACCCTCTCTCTATTTATATATCAAAGAATTATATAATTACCAATAATTATTTGTTAGCATTCAACTACCCTCTCTCTATTTAAGTTAAATGTGTAACTTATTAATCTAGGATTCTAAATTAGTTAAGAGTATCCATACTACAAGCATGAATTCTAATCACATTATCAATTGATACCTTAGATGATTAATTAACTGCACTGACTAATGTCAATTCTCTGGCTTTCATTAGTACTTCAAAATCAACCCACATTGAAAAGAAATAATTAGATTTCTTTAGATTTCTTTATGTTATTACACTTAGTAATATCCTTATTTTATATAACATAGAACTATTTCATAGCCAAATTTAGACACAAATAAGTGATAGCAATATATTTTTGTTACAATTTTTGTTGTTTTGTTATCACTTATGCAACAAAATTGAATCTCTTTGAAAATAACTAACCGTTTTTATTTTTCATCTTATGTGATCTTATCAAAAAAATTTTTCATCAGATGAAGAAAATAGAAAGAACCTAGATTGGAAGCAAAGACGAAATATTATTAATGGAATTGCAAAAGGACTTTTGTATCTTTGTGAAGACTCTCGACTTAGAGTAATTCATAGAGATTTGAAAGCCAGCAATGTCCTTTTGGATTATGAGATGAACCCTAAAATTTCAGATTTTGGAATGGCAAGGACCTTTGAAGGAGCACAAAATCAACAAAATACAAGACGAATAATGGGTACATAGTAAGTGTTAGATATAATTCAATCATTTTCATTTTTCTTTTTACTTTGAAATGTGTATTTAAATTATTTAAAAAAGGTTTGTTCATGGATAACTCAACTTATGGATTGATTGAAAATAGTGGTTACATGGCTCCGGAATATGCTATGGAAGGACTATTTTCAGTGAAATCAGATGTTTTTAGTTTTGGAGTTCTTCTCCTAGAAATTATATGTGGGAATAGGATTAGTGGTTTCTATCTCTCTGAACATGGTCAAAGTCTTCTATGTTATGTAAGTTATTTTTTTAATGTTATCTCATCAAAAAGTTTTGATTGTATAGCAATAACCCAATTTATTTGTATTTGCTTACAGGCTTGGAATTTGTGGTATGAAGGAAAATGTTTGGAATTGATGGACCCAATGCTAGAAAATTCATATATTGCAAATGATATTTTGAAGTGCATACATATTAGTTTGCTTTGTGTTCAAGAAGACGCAGTAGATAGGCCAACCATGTCTACTGTTATCGTCATGCTTGCAAGTGACACAATGACTTTTCCTAGACCTAATCGTCCTGCATTTTCAGTTGGAAGAATGGTCTTAGAAGATTTATCCACTTCAAATATTTCCAAAGATGCTTCTATTAATATGGTAACCTTGTCTCACATCAAACCCAGGTAATAAAACTAATTTGATTAGATGATTATATGAATCATCTATATAGCAAGTTCTCAATCTAGTAGGAAGAGAGACATAGAAAATGGTGAGACCCACTTGATAAGTTAATTAGATTAATTTCTTTATCTTCTTAACTAGCCATGAAGATCAAATGGCAAGATAATGCTTCTAGGTTATGACATATAAGAGAAATTCACATTGCCCCATCCCAGCTATAGGTATTTGATAAACTATATTGTTTGTAGAGATTTGGACTAAATCATACCATCAAAATGTTGCAAATTCTCATCCTTTCCAGAGAGAAGGCTTTCATATACATTGTTTAAAATTTAATCTTTGTGTGTACACATAATTGATATTATCTATATATATTTGACTTGTTATGTTGAATAATTAACTAGTTGTAAATTCTATTGAATACTTATTCATTTCTATGATTTGTATATTCATCATTGTGAATAAAACTCTTTATATTCTATTCAAATCTTTGTTAATAAGTAATTGAGTTTTATGAAAAATACCTTACACTAGAGTCTCATACTAGAATTTCAATGTCAATGAAAAGATTGTGAAGAAGAGTTTTCAATGTCAATGAAAATATCCTCAATAGAACCTAAGCTGTTTGTTAACTCCATATCTTTAAAACTTGAGCTTGTTTGTGATAGAACAACTAAATGTCTTGTCTAATCACTTATATCTTAGGGGTAAATTCAAAATTTAAAAGCAAAGATTATACTATAGACATAACCTTAGGCCGTTTTCTCGTTAAAGCCTTAATTTATTGATTCTAAGTTAACTAAATGCCAAGAAAATATGATTTGACCAGGGAAAGATTAGAGGTTTTTATTAAAACTATGAAATTAAAAAAATGCAAAGTAAAATATATTTTTTGATTTTTAGGGAAATAAGTGAAATGGATAGAAAACAAGCTGAAAGTAATTAATGAAATCTCTTGAAAATAGATCTTTGACAATCATAGTTCAAAATGATTTTGGTAGTGAAAATCAATAAATTTTTTAAATGAAAAACTTTAAAGCACCCTTTAAGTCTATGATCTTAATCAATGATCACCTATCTCATAAAATCCTATTAAACTCACTCAGCGTGTATATTAGGATTAATTAATACAGTTGGCTCAGTGCAAACCAAAATCAAGTTAATATTCACACAATACCATATAGAAAATGAAGAATCGAAAGAGTAGTTGCGTTGAAACATATATGTAACAACATATATTAAAGCTCAAATTCAACAATAACCAATCTAATACTATGTTAATCATCCAACAAATATTACAACCACAATAAGAGTAGTTCAGTCACCAAATTACAACCTCTATGACCTAGAAAATCATAATAAAATAGCTAGAACTAAGGATGAAACCACACTTCCCTTTGTGGCTCTTGGAACTCATGCCAATCAACCTATCTTTAAGAGAGCAAAGACTTAGCTATGCAGCTCCTACATCACAACTGGACTACAACATCTCCATAGCCATGGGTGGAAACAAAGGAAAATTAGAAGAAGAAT